ATATAGTCATAAAAATTCCAGAAATTCGAAAAAAAAAGTATTTATGAAAAGAAGAAAGGTTTTCTAATAATTTACCCAATGAATTTGGCGATACACCGAAATAATTTCAACAATAATTCTAATCTAAAAATGCTGTCCTTATTGCAAGAGAAAATATTTTATAAGACGAAAAATTTTCGCAAATGCATTCATAGTTATTAGCCCAAGCATAAATATGTTTAGCTATCTCCTCTTTTGAAAGAAATGATACTTTCTCAAGACAATATAGTTACGTGCGACCATGACAGTTTTAAAAATCTAGTAATAATAATAATAATAACAAAACCAACTTTAATTCACTTTTGTCTATCTTTACCTATGTATGTATGTATCTATCTATTTAGCTAGCTAGATATGCATGCCTGTATGTATGTATCTATTTAGCTAACTAGATATGCATATATGTATATATCTATTTAGCTAGCTAGATATGTATGTATGTATCTATTTAGCTAGATATGTATGTATGTATGTATGTATGTATCTATCTATCTATCTATCTATCTATCTCAGTCTGTTGCTATCTATCTCAGTCTGTTGCTATCTATCTATCTATCTATCTATCTATCTATCTATCGCTATGTATGTATGTATCTATCTTTTTATCTAGCTTGCTATGTATGTATGTATCTATTTAACTAAATATGTATGTATGCATCTATCTATCTATCTATCTATCTATCTATCTATCTATCTCAGCCTATTCAATATAATTCATCCAGAAAAAAAGAAGACGCCTCGACATTATTTACAGTGTTTGGAATGTGGTTTATTCTGAATTCAAACCGCAAATATGAAGAAAAAAATTGGTCGGCCCGGCTCAAGTGAGTGATGATGAATCAGGTTAGAAGCATGTGTAATTAATTATTAGCCGATGAAGAATATCAGATATCTAGTCTGAAAAACATGTATACATGTCTCAGACGTGCCTTTTCGGGATCAGTTCTTCACATGAAAAAGAATTGTGACGTTTTTTATATCTTATTTGCGGTACGGTTTCTTCATTGTACCTCCTCCGCCATCTTGAGTGTTCACTATCACAATTCTCCTGTTGACACAAATGCGAGTCTGTCGGATTCGCTTGGTTAACTGAGTGCGACGGATATTTTCTTTCCTTTCTGTTGCCATATGTATACAAAAACCCATCGGTATTGGATGAAAAGGTTTGAGATTGATTGATCCAAGTTAGTTTAAAGAGAAAATAGATTAGAATCTTTGCCAGAATTACTAGTAAGTTTCAGTTAAGGGCTAAGCGAAAATAGCCCTCTCATAATTTTATCTTAGATATTGTTTTTTTTACTAATTAGTTGATTCGCATTTTCACTTTAAGATCCGTCTTTCTCTCTTTATCTATCTGAATTTGTTCATATCTATCTATCTATCTATCTATCTATCTATCTATCTATCTATCTATCTATCTATCTATCTATGATTTTGTATATCCATATGAGCAGCATGATTTTTGGAGATTGTACCCGCTAACTGCAAATTTTGATGCATAGTTTTCTTTTATGTTCCTGCAGAACCTCGGTGATCATGGTTCTCCACTACTTTCTATCTTTTCTTCCTTTAAGTAACTTTTTCTCATTATCATGCTTCTTAATGTTCTTGTTCTGCCATCTATTCCAATACACTCGTTAAATAAATTACTCGCTTTAGCACCTGCTTCTTTTGCCTCGCATAGTCCCGCGAGTGTTAAATTCTCCCGGTATCCCTCATTTTTTTTTTTAATTTGATTCGAATTGTGTCGCAGACTGATGTGTACACTTGTTTGAGTAGACAGCCATGTTTTTTGTTATTGTGAAATTAATGTCTACTGGACATTTGAGGTCGCGAATGTTTTAGAAAAAAAATGTCTCTTTGAACGTTAAAGTCGTTGTTAAAAAAAGACGTCTACTCAAACACGTGTGCCAAGTAGATATAAGTAATAATCATACTTATTATAAAATCCAGGTTCTGTGTGTGTGTCTGTTTGTTTATATATTGGATCGGATTTACTACATTTTCAATGATTTCAACAAAACTTCACAGGACTACCAAAAAATTACCTTGCGGTGGTTCTGACAGCGCCAAAAATTGGAAAAACACAATTGTTTTTGCACGAAATCAATTTGAAAACACGATTAAGAGACATCGCTGTCGCCAGAATGAAAGGGGGACAACTCATATCGAGTTATACTTATTATAAAACCCAGGTTGTGTGTGTGTGTGTGTTCGTTTATATATGGGATTGGATTTCCTACATTTTTCAACTGATTTCAACAAAACTTCACTTTTTTTGGCAGGTAGTGTTTCTTATCGTCTTGCACACTTTTTTCTTTATTTTTACATTCAGAATTCTTTAAAAATTCCATTTACAAGACAATTGTTTATAATAAAATTCTATTCAATCGGTAGACTCATAACGATTGAAAACAATGTTTTTGTTTGAGTTTGGGTTTGACCAATTCAAAAAAACAAAACAAAAAACAAAAAAAGACTAATTAAGACATGCGTGTCCGTCAACCTTAAACAATAATCTTTGTCAATTTTATTTTTCAGTCTTTATGATGGTCGATACTTGATCTATCTCTTACTGTTCGGGCTCTACTGCTAGTATTGGATAAAAAAAAACATATATATCTATAATTCTCAAATATTTAATTCTTAATATCTATAATTCTCAAAATGTGTGTGTGTGTGTGATCGGATGTTGTTTATGCATTTCCACAGTTTTCATCCGATTTTGATGAAATTTTTGTTTGTTTGATAGATTATTCTTCAGTGCCGGTTTCGAGTCCAAATTTTTTGCGACAATGGCTCTCCACTACTTCTTGTCCATTATAACTGTCAGCAACGTTTTACTATTTACTGTCTGTTCTTGGATATATATCTTTCATAAAAACTTTAATAAAAATAAATAGTTGAAATTATTACAATATTATTATCTATATCTATAATTCTCAAAATGTCTGTTTGTGTGTATGTGTGTGTGTGTTTGTGTGTGTATGATCGGATGTTGTTTATGCATTTCTACAGCTTTCAACCGATTTCGATGAATTTTTTTTTGTTTGATAAATAATTCTTCAGTGCGGGTTTTGAGTTCAAATTGTTTTCAACAATGGCTCTCCACTACTTCCTATCCATTATAACTCTCAGCAACGTTTTATTATTTACTATCTGTTCTTGGATATATATCTTTCATAAAAATAAATACTTTAAATTATTACAATAATATTTATTATTATACAGTTCCCTTTTCAGCACCCCCACTTAATTTGTTAACCCCCTCCATTTGGGGATGTGCCTCAGTTGCCCCCAATTTTTGTGACTAATATTGATTTTCGGGTGGGCTGACTTTAAGCTTAATCTGCTCCAATTGAACGGCAAAAATTCCCAGTAATAAAAGACCCAGTCAAAGACGGATTATACTGCTGGTATAATATATTCAGGCATCCTGTACTCGAGTGAGTCACTCAAGGATACACGAATCCTTCCCGTACAGGTCCTGTGCACTAACCAGTGAAAGCGATTTCATACTGACGCCATCCAGACATTGCTAAATACATTCCCTATGATTATTATACAATTTACATAACGTAAGAGGTTGAAGACTTCATAATAATAAACAAGGACTTTCCAAGAATATACCTTACGTGTATAGTAAAATTACGAATATGAAATTAAACAAAAATTAATTAAAATTGCATTACCCAACTTATCATTGCTTCTCGCAGAACACCTAGCGACATTTTGCAGAATCCTACGGTTCTGGGGAAAAGCGGTTGAGAAATTTACTTTCATTTTATGTGCCGTGTCCTTTAAGGACGTAGGCGATCATGGCTCTCCACTTCCTCCCATCCTTTGTAGCTCTCAATAAGTTTCGTCCCTCTGTCACCCCCGCCAGACCACATTCTGTCACCCACTTGCTTAAGGCCGCCAGATATGCCATCCGTTGCTTTCCGTTGTCTCTCTTTCCCTCTATTCGACCTGTGAGTATCAGATTCTCCAGGCCCTTCTTTCTCATTACGCGTCTTAGAAACCTCAGCTGCCTCTTCCTGATGTTAAGTATAAGCCTCCTTCTTGTTTTCACCTTCTCCAAGACCCCATCGTTGCTCACACGCTCGCACCATGATATCCTCAGCATCCTTCTGTAGAACCATATCTCCGTCGCCTCGAGTCTCTTCTTCATCATTGAGGAAATCGTCTAACATTCGCTGCCGTAAAGGAGGTCAGATGTCACGTAACAGCTCAGTATTCTTTTCTTTGTTACCAAAGAAATCCTCCTGTCTTGTAATAGTCGGCCTAACTTTTGGAATGCGTCTTTGGTCATCCCAATTCGTCTACGGATCTCAGTGTCGCACGTACTGTCCTCTGTCAAAACACTTCTCAGATATTTAAACTTCTGCGTCTGCTCGATTTTAGTGTCCTCAACCTGCAAACCGCATTTCGGGCTCATCCTCTTACTGATGACCATGCATTCTGTCTTGTAGTTTATGCTTAGTCCCTTCTTCGCACTCTCCGTCGCTATCTTCTGTAGGCGGTTCTTGTAATTTCTTTTCCGTGTCTGCTATCAGTATTGTGTCATCTAGTGATCTAGAATGATCAGTAATTGAACAACTTTGAGTATGTTTGAATTCTCGATCCCAATGACTTGTGCCTTCCTTTTTATTACAATCATCCACTTCTTTTGAGCATGTTGGGCTTCCCAATCTCCTTCCCAAAATTTAGGTTAATCCGTCGTATGGTTTTCAAACATTTTGCCTTACCTAGGATCGTTTCGAAATTACGGTCACATCTCTGACATAATCTGATAAGATTCGAACCAGGATCTCATGGGAACACTAAAGCTCAAACAACTTGGCCACGTGCCCATTTTAGGCGAACAGACAGAAACAAGAAAGATCTTTCTCCATCTTTGTAACGTTCTCGTATTAAAATGAATTTGATGAGCCACGAATTACAAAGATTCCAACAATTATTCACCGGACGTAGTGCATCTCATTGCTTAAATAGAGAGAGAGAGAGAGATAGAGAGAGAGAGAGAGAGAGAGAGAGAGAGTGCACGAACGTACTGGCGAATATAGAGTAGAAATACCGCTTTGCGATAAATATCCAAGTAAGCAGGACCTGCATTCAAAAATTGACCAAAAACAATATATAAAATTACTCGACTATCTCACATAAAAGGCTCCGGATATATGTTGATTAAACCAAACATTATTTCAGGTAACCAGCAAGGAATGAATCGACTATCGCTTACTTTTACTACGGGTACTCTATATCTAGTCAGATAAATCCCATATATATATATATATATATATATATATATATATATATATATATATATTAAAGACATTTTATTATGTTTAACGTTGTTATTTTATAGATACAAGTATTTAAGCAAATGCTCTGTTTATGATAAACAGTATTAAATAACATTTACCGGCCTGAATGTCCGAGAAATTTTCATAGAAAATATTCGTTCTTTGACATGGGGATTCGAACCTGCATCCTCATACGGAACCGTCATATACGATGACGTGCCTTACCGCTAGGCTACAAAGAAGCGTTCGGTAGACAAGGTCGAATTTACTGCTTGTCAAAGAACGAATATTTCAAATCAATCTCGAGGGAAAAAAAGGTTCTAAAAAGAAAGAGCTACAAACATGGACTTCTGCCGACAAAAAATCGCACAGATGCAGGTCTGAAGCCCAAAGAAAAAAACCCCAATAGAAAATTAAGATACGAGTAACAACTAACTAACTAACAAAAGAGCTCAATACAACCGTAGATGAATTCAAAAAAGACCTAAGATACATTTAGAATAAATAAATATAAAAATCAAACATCTCTCTCAAAAATAAAAAAAGACAAACCTACCTAGGTTTCACCTAAACGGATCGTCAGAGAAATGTCAAAAAAATTTTCTTAAATAATATATAAAAAAAAAAAAAAAAAAAAAATTTCCTGTTATTTAAAATTGTGGTTGACGATCCGTTAGGTAAAAAATCCTAAGGTAAAGGTTTGTCTGAAAAATGAAATTACTAGGTGTATGACCCATTGTTTTGTACATACATATCTTATATATATATATATATATATATATATATATATATATATAGGTCATTTACTAAAAAGAAAATAATTTCTATGGCCTGAAAGAGATGAATATATAAGAAATATTCATGAAATAAAAATTATAACTGAAATTCTTTCTTTATTATTATTATGATTATTATAATTAATAACGCTCTGTAGTTTACATTGAGATCGCCCTGAATATCTTCTTCGAAACATTAACCCTACCAGTCACAAATTGTAAAATAAAATTAATATATATATATATATACTTATGAGAAATGGATATATAAAAAAAAAAAAAAGTCCGACAATTATTTTGAGAAAGACATTTTTATGTTTATACATTTTTTTTATAGATACAAATATTTAAGTAAATGCTCTGTTTATAATAAACAGTATTAAACAACATTTACCGGCCTGAATGTCGAGATATTTAAATAAATAAACATATACTTTGATATGGAAAATATTCGTCCTGTTATAAGGTAATATATTGTATACAAGAACCGTCATTTAGATTGACGTGCCTTTACCGATTTGGCCAGAGGAGCGTTCAGTTAGTACTACATGTGAAATTATATTAATAGGTTTATATATAAAGAAAAGGTCGAATTTACTGTATTACAAAAAAAAAAAAAAAAAAAAAAATGTAACTTCAATCTTCTATGAATCTCTCACGTACATTCATATCTGCTCATGGCGTATCAAATGTAAACAAATGACGTCACATTAGTTTTTTTTTTTTTTTTTATGAACCGGACAAAGTCCGACAATTAGTAGAATATTCAAAAGAACATTTTATGTTTATACATTCTCCAAAATTTTTATACATAATTTACAAATATTTATTTTTGAAAAGTAAATGCTCTGTTTATAATAATTATTATAATTTCTCGGACATTCAGGCCGGTAAATGTTGTTAATGCTGTCTATTATAAACAGAGCATTTACATTAGATATTTGTACTGTCTATAAAAGAATAAAAATATAAAACATAATAAAATGTCTTAATAAATAAATATATATATATATATATATATATATATAGATAGGTTGATAGATAATATATATATATATATATATATATATATATATATTCTGTTTCGAAAAAAGGATAGAATCTAAAAAAAGAAAAAGCTACAGGTAGAGCTCAATGTCAGGACACAGTAAGAATATAATAAAGGCTCAAACACTAATATTACATGATTATAATTTAATACTTTGGAATCATAATCATGATCAATTCATCAGACCTACAAATTCTTTCTGATTTTTCTAGGTCTGATGAATTGAATCGTGATTAAGATTCCAATGTAATAAATTATAATCATGGGTTGTTAAACTTAAATATGTTTGAGCAATATATATATATATATATATATATATATATATATATATATATATATAAAATGTAAAAGTGGGCACTGTGTTCAGTAATAGGTGTCAGCATTCCGTTTCATGCTTGGATGCAATCTTCCGACGGCGTAAAGATTGCGTTCATACATGAAACAGACATTTAGTACCCGGTGTTGACCTCAACATCCACTTTTATTTTTGCATACTTTCTATCCTTTGTATCCATAAATATAGCATACATTAATAGTATATTTTTATCATCGTATATACTCGTGTATAAGACTACATCATAACCGAATTTATTTTGTGGAAAACCTGAATTTTTTTTATAGCACGTGTATAATGCGACCCCAGCTTCTGAACAATCCAAGTTGGCCTATCGTAGTGAAATATTGCACTACTGGACATATTTTTTTACAAAGTTAACCCAAAACGTTGAGAGAAATTACTGTGCAGATCGAAACAAAAAGAAAGTATCTAGGCTCTACTGAAGGTAAGCTAAAAAGAGTTTATCTGTACCGTTATGGTCAAATTATCTGGGTATATTGCGATCCCCTTATTTTTTGCATAAAACTGATCATAACATTCGCACTAGATTCGAGTGTATACGGGTGGCCAAAGTGTATCAGGGGTGGGCAAACTTGCTTAATGTAAGAACCAAAACGAAAAAATTTGAGAGCCGCAAGGCATGAACAAAATTTCACATACGTTTTTGTTACATAGACATTTTGCTACAAAATTTTGATATAATATTAAGAAACGAATATATGAAATAATAGTTATTCATGTATGCACTTTTTAAACTGTTAATTTGTATTGATTTCAGTAATCACAAAGTACACACACACATATATATATATCAAATATGTGGTGCAGCTCAATTTATATTACAATAAATCATTCATACAAAAAGTAAATTAGTAAAGTTAATGATATAAAATGGCGAAATCCTTTTGCAAACAAAATTTTAAAGGTTCATTAACTTATATAACTGTATAAGACCTGATATAGTTTATAATTTTTAAAACCAAGGATCATAACATTCATCGAGTGATTCGTAAGTTAATGCACCTTTAAAATTTTGTTTGCGAAAGGATTTCGCCATTTTATATCATTAACTTTACTAATCTACTTTTTGTATGAATAATATATATATATATATATATATATATATATATATATATATATATATGTGTGTGTGTGTGTGTGTGTGTGTAGAGGTCTGCTCTACTTACCGTATTGAGCACTTTATTTAGTTATTTTGCTTACTCGTATCGGTTTTTTTTTCTTTGGACTTGCATGCAAGACGATTATTTTCGGCTGACGTACATGTTCTTGGTTCCTTCTTTTTTATACCTTTTTTTCCCCTTTGGTATTGGTTTGCAAATCAAGACACCGAACGTTTTCTGGACGAGTATAATTTCTTATACTTATAAGATTATTACTACTACGACTACTATATATATATATATATATATATATATATATATATATATATATATATATATATATATATATATATATCAGGCATCCCATAAGTTCTGTCCGAATTTTAACTTTTTGTTAAAATGAACAAAATTTAAAGAGTATTTTATAATGTCTAATGGAGCTGAACATTATTTTTATGTTTAGATGCATTTAAACTGATCAAATTTTATTTCAGAGAACAATAAAATTAAATTTTGTTTGATTAAAACCCTGCTAACATGGAAGTACCCAAGAATCATTTGAGGCACATAATGCTTTATGAGTTCAAGAAAGGAAACTCAGCAGCCGAAGCGGCTAGAAACATTCACTCAGTTTATGGAGAGGAATGTGTGAATGAAAGAACTTGAAGAAGATGGTTTGCAAAATTCAGAAGTGGAGATTTCACCCTTGAAGATGAAGATCGAACCGGATGTCCAGTTGAGTTTGATGAAAAGCTTCTTGAAGCAGCCCTTGAAGAAGATCCTGCTTTGTCGGTTGAGGAATTGGCAGTGGTTCTCAGTTCAAACCATACAACTGTTCATCGTCATCTTCAACAACTTGGAAAAGTTCCTAAACTTGGAAAATGGGTGCCTCATGAATTGTCTGAAAACAACATCAAATCCCGAGTTGACATCTGCTCTTCTCTCCATTCTCGCCAACTTGTTTCACCTTTTTTGGATAGACTTTTGACTGGCGACGAAAAATGGATCTTTTATCGAAATGTTAAGCGTCGTAGACAGTGGCTTGGTAAAGGGGAAGGACCCCAGCCACAGCCGAGAAGGGAACTTCATGGGCAAAAGGTTCTTCTTTCAATCTGGTGGGATTGCCAAGGAATAATCCACTTGAATTCTTACCAATGTAACAATTAATGCTCAAATATACTGTCAGCAATTAGAGCGTTTGAACCAAACTTTGAGGAAAAAAAGACCTGCTCTAGTGAATCGAAAAGAGGTGATGTTTCATCAGGCCAATGCGCGACCCCACACAGCAAGAATCACGTCACAAAAGATCGAAGAACTTGGTTGGGAGAAAATTCCTCATCCACCTTATTCTCCCGATCTTGCTCCTTCAGACTACCATTTGTTTCGTAGCTTACAGAATCATTTGGAAGAAACAGCTTTTGTAACACAGGAAGAGGTTAAAACTGACATTTGTGAGTTCTTCAAATCAAAGGCAAATAAATTTTACAGTAATGGGATTAGTAAGCTTGTTAATAGATGGAA